CAGATTCACAAAAATGTAGACAGCACCCTCTAGTGGATCTGTCATTTAAAATATGCAACACAAGCAAGGCGATGTATTTTATGTTTTGTGTTGCAAAATGTAGTATGAGGCATGTTTTTCCAATGAGCCTGGGCTGGCTGACCAGCAGAAAGCAGACTGAGCTCACACGCTACACTTCTAACAACATATAATGGAAGTTTTGCCTGCAATGCTTTCTTGAATTCTTCTTATTTAATCCGCGATTATACGGATAATCCGCGGGTCAGGCGGGCTGGGTAATAAAAAATACATAATGAATAATTGAGGGTCGGTTCATCTAGCGGGATATGGCAGTGGACCAGCGAAAAAGCAGAGTGGGCTTTGCAGAATGGGAAGATGAGACGCCCAAATTAATAGATGAAGTGCAAGAGTAGCCTAATGTTACTGTTCAAAGTTTCAGTTTGAGGAGTCATCAGAGGAAAATCTGCTATCGTTCTGGGAGAAACGAGATCACTTATTTCCACGACTGCAGCACCGTGCGAGGAGAATCTTGTTCATTCCTACAACAAGCGGTGCGAGCAAACGCTCATTCAGTGCAGCTGGCCGTGTTTTAGAGGCGAAGCGGAATTGCCCAAATTCAGGCACAGTAGATGCTATTCTGTTTTTGCAAAGTGCGAAGAAAAAGGCCAAGTAAGCATAACATAGCTGCCGTTTAGGCTGAAGTGGCATCCTTTTTGCTATTTTGTTCCTGTATCTATAAAAGATAAAATGTCTCTTTTACTTTCTGTATCTATTTGAAAATGAAGAAAATGTTGTCTAAAGACAAACTTTTGTTTTTTAAATAAAAGTTCATTTAAAAACATTTACAATTAACATATTGTTTTACTATCAGAGATGCGCAGATAGATAGCTCACTGAATCTGCTGTTAATATTCACGGTGACCTATCATCATGACTAAAACAAAGAATTCAATTATTAAAGTGACGATCGGGTGCAGATGGTGGTACATGTATCAGATAAAACTATATGTGCGGGCGGGTGGCGGGTGGATGATTAGTATGAAGCTGCGGATTCGGGTGTCATTTCAGCTGATCCGTGCATCTCTAGTACACAAGTATACACTGATTTTTAACAGAGATCTACCAATATGGGAATTAGAGCAGATACCAATACCCGATACCTCTTTATGTATTTAGAATCCAACATTTAGACTGATAAACATAATTCCGATAAATAGAAATATAACTCTATAAAATAGAGATTTTCTGAGGCAGATTACAAAAATGAAAGGCAAAGAACACATTGATTTAAAACCTTAACTCCCGAAGCCATTGCAATGAAACATCTAAATCTTTTTTTTTTTCCACAAAATCTGCAATTCTGATGTACTGTGCATTTAAATGTGTGCTTATACTAACATTCACACACAAAAAAAGCACTTTACTTTGGGTTTAACAGTAGCAGATTCCATTCAGAATAATTTTGGCCACATTCAACTCTGGTCATTCCCATTGCTGACACAAATTACACATAAGATAAAGGCTTAATTGTCTACAAAGACTCAAAGGGGCGGGAATGAGCTCCCAACAAGCTTCCAATACATAAAATGTAATACCGATTTAGGTTCTCTGGAGTTTTTTTCACCCTAAGGAATCACCCAGATCCATCCATTCATTAATTATCTGAACGGGGCCATCAGCCTCACTGCTTGTGCTGTGCTCTTGCATAAGTCCAGAACGGGTGGAGGCTGCTGTGTCAGCAGATGTTTACCAAGGGTGTTTTTTCATTATACCTGCTGATCTAACTGCTTGAGTCACACATCTGCAACACTAACTAGTTCTGACAGACCAGCATATGTTGTGTATATGATGCTGGCCCATTCTGAGATGTTGGTCTCTCCAATATCTCAGAATCATTTTTTCAAAACGCTTTTCTTGTGTAGTCTTCATTTCAGGGCCTGGTGTGGTTCAGGCATGGAGGTTCTGTATGGGAATATATATATAAATATATAATATATTTATATAATATATAAAGAATTTGTATTCCTTGTAATGGTCAATTTCTGCAAACAAGAATTCATATTTGTGATGTGCGACATCGGTGACCATGCCCATAACGCATGATAAATGCTTAGTTTTAATGTTTTTGGTATTAGATAATAAGAAAATAAATTATGAATTAAATCTGCACTTTTATTATATGGCTCTCTTAACCCTACAGCTGAAAGCAATGTATTTATAAAACTGAAATGAATGAACCCTTTTCTGAGGAAGAATATGTCATTATCTTAATTTAAAGTGCATGAGGCTGAAACCATGGTCATATTCTAATATAAGATAAATTAGTTAAAGCAATATAACTGTCTTCTTTAAAGTAGGTACTGTATTGTTAAAAAGCTATTAGACATGTTCTAAAACACAATAATGATCCCGAACAATTTCCAGATATATTCGCATAGTAGCTGCACTTTACTATGACATATAGATGATTAATTTCAGAAATGCTGACCTGTGGCAATCCAGAATCCATTTGTACATGTAGGATAAACAGGTATGATTGTACAAATGAATTACAAACAGCAAGAAGCTATTTTCAGAGGTCTGACAGCACCCTACACAAATAATCCCAATGCAGTGTGATGCATTTGGAAATCACACATTTGCACAGAAAGATCAATGTTAATCAATATGAGTCACTGTTTGCAATAATTCTGTACATAAACAACAAACAAACTGGTCTATTCAGAGTGACAAGACTGATAAATCTGCCTCTCTATTTAGCATATTAGCACTTCACAACATCGCAAACACCTCAATCAGGCTATATTCTCCATCAGCGGAAACACTAATATATATTCAGGCTATGTAACAACCATTTCAGCGGACTAATACTTCTGACTCTTTTGGGAGCTTTCTGACTACTAAACAACTATTTACTTGCACCAATAACACATGGATCAGAAAACAGCCACACAAAGGTTTGCTTTGAAAATGAATAGAATGACTTATCTAGACTCCTTATATACAGGCAAACATCCAACTTTTTTAATCCTAGAGCCCTTAAAATGCTACATGATTCTTACATGTCGTTCATCAGAACTTGGAATACCAAAATGTGTATTCAGTAGAAATATAAAAATGCACATGAAGATTTTAAAGGGGTGGTCCACTACGATATCATATTTTAAACTTTAGTTGATGTGTAATGTAGCTGTGTGAATGCAGAAAATATCTCTGAATGTAATATGTTCAAAGCAAAGGGTGACATTGGCTTTTACAGAGTTAGCTTAGCAAAGCCTACAGCAAACAAAGTTTGGGGACTACAAAAAAAAAACATCTGGGCTAGTGAGATCACACTTTTGGTTACGAGCATTCACCACGCACATGCACACCGCGCAGCGAAGGGGCATGGCCAGAAGTGCTGTAATTTAAAGCTAAAATGCTATCCAAATGCTGCTCTCTCCACAGAGCGTGTTCAGTTTCGGTATTTGGGCTTCTAAAGGACACGACACAAAAAGAGATGTGCTTACAGTTTAATTTTAATTATGTTCCAGAGAATTATAAAAAATATATAGCTAGCATTTGACAAAGGACAGCTTCCAGAATCTCTCACAGTACTGGATTCGATTAAAACTCCTCCAACAGATAAAGCTTTAGATTGTAAACCACAACCAGTAAGTGTTTTTATTTGTTAAAATTGATTAATTACATGCACGGTTTCTAGAGTTGACGGTATGTTGTAGCGCGGATGTAAACAAGACTGTAAACAACGGGAAATGCTGTTTGGCTACAAATTCATATTTATTCATCAAACTGCTGTAAACACCAAAAATTTTCACCAGCGCTGCATTGTTTCTCTATGCGGCTACTTTCCCTGCATTCTACATCTCAAATAACAAACTCACAAAAGATGAAAAGATTAATGTGAACGTTTCATATTACTTACACATACTTATAACCCGAATATATGTTAGAGCGCTTGTCAGATTTTATTTTAGAGAGCAGGCATGAGGTGTAGCTGCGTGCTTTCCATTTTCAGCCTGATTCAGGCAAACTGATACTTCTGTTTACACAGCATAAAAGCATGTGCTTGTCGGGATGTGATGTGGAGCCAATCCACAAATCTTAGCACATAATGTTAGCTGACCAATCAGAGCCTCTTGAGGACGGGCCTTTTGGAGGAACTAGGAAATATGACGTAGTTTTTGTTTATGTTAGCGTAGTAGCTACAGTATATGTGTAGCTGTAAATAATCAAAGTGAGATATGAAAAAATAATAGGATTTTCTACAAGTGAAGCATGAGCATACATCGCTTTGCATCTTATAAACACAACCAAGCCTTAAAAATATACGCTGAGCCACCCCTTTAAAATTCACAAAATACATCCGTCATACTTTTATAATGAAACCATATTTATCCATGCTTTTCTAGATTTTGAAGAAATATTCATTTATTATTTTTTCATCCTACACGTCTAGTTCCAAACCTGTTTAAGTTTTCTGTTTAAAACAACAGAATTAAGTTATACTTATTATTATTATTATAAAGCATTCTGAAAACTGATATCAAGACTTTTTTTCGGTCACACTTTATTTTGATGGTCTGTTTGTTGAATTTAAGTTACATTGCAATTAATTCTCATCAAATCATTAATAGACTGTTGGGCTAGCGTTATGGTTAATGTAAGTTGACATGTCATTGCAAAGTTTCTTATAGTCAGTTGAATGTCTGTTGAAGGAGCAGTATCATCAGATAATAAGCAGACAGTCTACTAATACTCAAACGGACCATCAAAATAAAGTGTTACCTTTTTTCATTCTATGGATCTCAATTTTTACTAGTTTTTTTTAAATATCTTCTTTTATGTTAATGAGAAAAATAAAACTCATAAAGGTTTGGAACCACTTGTGGGTAATTAAATGCTATCAATGCATCTCCTTAAGTCATCTCTTGAAGGCCTCTGAGGCCCCCTAGCTGAAAAGCACATCAGCAGTCGCATCTTCATGAATGAGATCTCACCTGTAAAAAATGACAAGGCCTCATGGAGGACTTCAGATCTTGAGGCATGGTCGGTTTCTCCAGGTTGAGGGAAGATTTACGGTAGGCTTCTTTAGCTTGGCTGACAGTCAGAGTCGACCAGGAGCTGCGCTTCATGAATTTGCCCTCGGGGGCCATAGCGATGCTCTCGCATGCTGAACATTTCACGTCATTGTTGCTCTTAGAGGTCTTTAGTGAAAGGTCACCGAAGTGCCCGTGGCCCATATCCGGGTAACAGTGAGTGATATGATCTCCGTGGTGCCGACTCATGATGCTGGGAGTCCGGTAGGTGCTGTCACTGTCCAGGTTGTCGTCAGAGCTCCACCAGCCTGCTATCCCTGAGCGTTGCTTGGAGTCTGACTTGCGTTCCTTGCTCTTACTTCGTTTGCTGTGTTTGTGGCTCCCATGGTCATGGCCGTGATGATGGTGGTGATGGTGGTGGTGTCCGCTGTCTGAGCGAGAGTCTCCCTTGGTGCCGTTCATCTTGGAAGAGCCTTCAAGAGAGTGCGATTTGGTGAAGAGCTTCTGGACAGAGTGCACCAGGTGGCGAATGCGCCCGGGACTCTCGTTGCGCTGCTCGCTGTTGGTGGTGGTGGCAGACGTGCGCTGGTACTGCAGCGTGTGGAAACCATCCCTATGAATCGGTAGCTGCTTCTCGAACTGGTCAAGGAGGTTCGCAGGAATACGGTTCATCTTCCCGGATCCGCCACCCCCGCTAACAATGCTAACCCCTCCTCCGCCACCTCCTCCACCATGAGAAGTGGAGCCGTCGTCCCGCAAGCTGTCCTGATGTGAACTGTAGTGCATTCTAGGAAAGGTGCTGCTGGAGACGTGGTCAGATGCCATAGAAACTGGCATCACCATGCACTCCGAGTGGATGGAGCTGCGGGGTGAGCAGCGGTGTGGGTCCAAAGGGCAACTCTCGGTGGGACTGAGCAGGTAGGGAGAGCGGGAGTCTGGGCCGACATGCTGCAAGTGATCGAGGGACTGATCGCAGTCTGGCAGCCCACAGGTGTGTCCAGATGTGAAGGTGAGCTGAGGACGACCACTTGATAAACCTTTCATATTCCTGGGAGGGGAGGGGTAGCTGTCTTCATCGAAGTACGGCGGTGGAGACCATGAATCTAGCTGATCTATGAAAGACAAAGACAGAGAAAAAAAAAATAGAGGACGAGTGAGCTTGATTGATTTTACCCTGGCATTCTGCATCAGTTTAGACCTTACATGTAGGAAACTAATAGGGATGTTCGTTAAACACTGTGGAGAGGTATAAACAAGCTCAATTTACAAAATCTCTGCCACTTTTAGGAATTCAGGTGAGCTTTTTAGCTGCACAGTCATGGAAAACAAGACACTTTAATTCATGAATGGAATGAAATAATGATGTCCACACAATAGCACGTCCCACAGCCCTTTTGCCGATCCTCCCCATCTGGTCCTGCCAGACCTTACGAGGACAGAGTTGCAAGCCTTGCCATTTATCCAATGCAAAGTAAAATAATAGCCTATCATTTTGGAACCGCTGGGCCATCCGTCAAAGCCGGATCCAGAGAGAGAGGGAGCACTTCGAGGTGCTTCAGCGGTTGTCCTTGAGAGACATTGCTCAGAGATTAAAACCACATTCACTGTGATCTTTCATCACAGCCGCATATGGGCAGCCTGCCGCTAACTTCATCAGAGCCTCAGAGATCGTGTTTTTCACATCCAGCCATTTGCCCTTTCTGACACAACTATTTCATGCTGCTGGATCACATGTCATTTCACACAGGTGACTAATGGGAATTTTCATGTCGTTAAAAAAAACAAAAAAAAAAACATGGTAATGAATATTAATACAAAAGTCATTTTTCAATCACTGCAGGGAAACTACAGAACGTGTCAAGTTTAATGAGTTTTTAGTGTCAAAAGTGAAAGCTGGTTAAACCTCAACCGATTTAATCTCAGCTGAGATATTATTAACAATTTTAAACTTGTCTCTTTCTTGTCAAAATGAAAGCACATCTTTTGGAAAATATTCACACTCTGTCTGTGTCCAAAAACCTCATTAGTCAACTCGGGTAACAAATTCATACAAGCAAATGTCTGCAAACAGTATCACAATAGTGTGTTGTTAAAACTACACCTCTTTAAAGCATAAGCCTTTTCTGAAAATGTCATATTATATGTACTAGACCATGCACACGAGAAAAATAAGCAAGCTGTATAATACTGTATATCTCTCATTCTACACCTTTTAGTTCATTAGGGGATAAAATGCTGTTTCGAAGAGTGTGCATGAGTCCAGAGTGATGAATGAAAACTCATATAATAAAGCCAAATGACAGAGAACATAAATAGAGCAGCAGACTTTAGGTAGTATGTTTGTTATTAATAGTCTCACATTATTCTAATACTGAGCTTTAAGCTGCAGACGTTATCACTCCAAACCTTGTGAATGTCACTAAAGACAGTTCTAACCAGTGTGGTCCAAATGATGTTCCTGTGACACAGATCAAGAAACTGGCAAGAGTAACTAGTCCCCAATAATGCATTGTACTATGGCAGCACGTTACATCATTGTTAAAAAAATGCACCACTAACAGAGTAAGGAAAAACCGGGGGATATTGCAACACCCTCAAATCCTCCAATCTGAAACATGCTACAGTGACATCTTTTTAAAAATACAACAAATATCTCAACACAATCTCATTGGTTCATTCTGTTAAAAATGTCTTCAGAATTTTAACCATCTACAGAAAAAAAAAAAACTAGTATAACCATAGTAAAGCATTGCTGGATACTGCAGCAGTGAAGTGACTGGTTTAATATGGATGTCCAGATCCAATCACGTGATTGAAAATCAGGGCAGATCACATGGTTTCAGACTTGATCGGAATCAGGCGTTACCTCCAGATCAGGACTCTAACATGTATATCATATATTCTCATTTTTTTAAACACATCTATAGTTATGTGGTGACACAGAGTTAGATCTCTTACTTGACTTCACACAGAAACAACATGTATGGGCATGAAATCACTTTGTTGCAAAGACGCTATTGGTTAAATGCCTCCAAAGTAGAACGATAGCAGCTTGAAGCGAAAAGCACGATTATGTCTGCTGTCTGGAGGTATTATAAAGTTGATTGCCATACAACATTGCCATAGCAGACTGTAAGAAATGTAAACTTGGGATTACCTGCCGGGTGTTGAGATGCTTTTTGTTTTTACAGTAGTTTGTTTTATATTTACTGTTGCACTGACGTCCAAAAGTGAAGAATTGATGTTATTTATTACTTAATTGTTCAAACGACTTTACAGGAGTGCTTTGTTTGTTAACATAGTTGTTAAAAATAAGATGAATTAAATAAAAAAATAAAGAAGAGTGAAAGAACAGATCCAGCATGTTCCTTATTCTTTTTTTTATGTATTATAGAAGTATCTAATTAGGTTTTGGTATCGGCAGATACTCAAAATCAAATGACTCTGACTCGAAGGCAAAAAAATCGGATCGGGACACCCCTAGTTCAAAGTAGGCTTTTATTTGAGATACAGTTAGTTTGAAAAATTTTTACACCGGAGAGCAAGTGGTCAATTTGGACAATGTGACTTTTTGTATTCAATTTATTTTTTATAGTGTTCTCACATATAATATTGTTTCATGGTTCGGTAACACAACACTTAAACAGAAAAAGAAATTAGCGCAAATTATAAATCAGGCAAATAAGATAACTGGTCACAAACAGCATTCATTGCAGATTTTATTTGACTCTTTTATGGAAAAAAGAGCAGTTGTGATTTTTAAAGATAATACACATCCGCTTCACTCAGCATTTGAACTGCTACCATCAGGACGCAGGTTTAGAATTCCTAAAGCACGAAGAAATGCCTATAAAAAGTCATTTATCCCAATGGCAGTTGTTGTTCTAAACCGGATCAATGTTTGTAGGAAATGAGGTGGTTACCAAGTATGATTTGCAGTATTGTGTATGGGACTAATTTGGTTTTTAAACTTTTAACCTATGTTGTTGTGTTGGTAAGTGTTATTGTGTCATTGGTGTATGTTTGTAATTGTTGTCCTAAATCCAGTGCTGAAGAAAAATTTCCTTTTTGTGTCAAGCAGAACGGACAATAAAGTTTAAACTAAACTAAACTATTTTAACTTTCTTGTTCTTATTTGTTTAATTAAATGGATTATTAACTCTTTATAGGACACTCAATGAAAAACTCTTTGAAAAACTCTGAAATGTTATTCGGGTTATTACAAGACTTGTGAACTGTTATGACTATAAAAATATGATTTCCCAAATTATGTTTAACAGATATTATTTATAACAAATATTATTTACTGTCATCATGGTAAAGATAAAATAAATCAGTTATTAGAAAAAAGTTATATTTACAAATGTGTTGAAATTTCCCTCTGTTAAAAAGAAATTGTTAGGTTGGGGTTACAAACAAAAAACAGCTAATAATTAAGGGGGGCTAATAATTCTGACTTCAACTGTTTATATAAAGTGTAATCAAGGACAATGAAGGGACCATATATGATTACTACCCAAAAAAAACGGTTAATCAGTGCATCAATACTGTATAGTGCATCTTGTATAATGAGTATATAAAGTACTCTTTAGTTTTTGAGGAAAAATAAAAAAATTATCACAATTGCCACTGGTTTTCTGCAAATGAAAAAAACACAACTGTTCAATAATCTAATAATCTTATAACAATAATAATAATAATAATAATAATAATAATAATATATAAGCTATAAAATATTACACAATATTACTTCTGTAACTGTATAATATATTTTGACTAAATAAATAGAGACTTGATGAGCATAAGAGAGTTTTTAAAAACAGAAACCTCACACTTCCACCTGTCTGAGCCACATGCAAGAAACTGAACAGCAAGAAACTGGGCAGATGACAAAAGCAAAAGCACCTTAATGTGAATTAAGAATAAACATCATTTGTTTATTCTATGCTCTGTTAAGATTGTTAAGATCAGTTATTGCGCAGGTAGTTCCAGTCAGTTTGTTCACAGTTTTAAATTAATGCGCTCCCCTCCCCTGCCATAAACATTTATAACCTAACTCAGTGACAGTTGCTAGAGCCTATCTGCATCTGAGACACATTCCTTGAGGACACCAATGTGTGGCTAAAAGCAATGTGCTCTAAAACATTTATAAACTGATAGGTAACAAATATATATATATATATATATATATATATATATATATATAATATTATATTATATTTAATATAACATTAAATATAATATTAAATAAAATAGAGTATCCAGTCTAAAGTAATCTTAATTCAATTCATGTTAAAATCAATACTTGTATTAACTTGTTGCTAACTTAAAAATACCATTGAATAAGTGGGATAATCAATGGCTTTGCTGTGCATTAATGGATTTTAAGCACACTTTTAAATCCACCCACAGAGGATAGTCTGTTGCCTTCACAAAATCCCTAATTATAGTCAATTAATATATAAATGTTTCATTTTTGATGATCTAATTAACCTGTAATTAAGCAGACAATTTTTGCTGTTTCTAAATGAATCAGCTGTCTTAAACAAATTGTTTGAATGAATGACTCAAGGAATAACCATTGACATTACCAACTGATTCATATTTAATTTTTATATGACAGGCCTAAATCAGTCAAGCTACCAGCACAAGAAATCAACCAGCAGAATATCTGTTGGAGATGTACAGTACAAATTATAAATTGTAATGTTTTTTTGTTTTTTTTTAAATAAGCACCTACTTTGTTTTAAACAAAAATACTGAGTAAAGAGTAAAACTGTTAAACATTATAACAGTTTAACTGATATAAATGTAGACATTTAAACTTGAACATTTAGTAGCTATTTAACATGGCTTATACAAAGTCAGCTATGACCAAAAACAGACTGTTTATTCAGTAACCGCTCTGATAAATCCACTGAGCCAAGTTCATCACTGACTTATTCATGAGTCATTTTGACTGATTCATTAAAAAAATAAAAATAAATTTTTTACTCATGCACAAGACCAGAGATGCCCAAGGTCGGGCCTGCAGGCTAAAGTTGGCTCATTGTAACCTTTGATTTGGCCCACCATCCAGTCTGAGAAGAAAGTAAGAATGATGAGGGCAAAT